ATTTTCCCACCTATTTAATATTTATTAATTTTGCCGGCATAAAATTACACAGAGTGGCCGGGACACCGCAACAGCTTATTGCCAATTACTGCGGGCCCAATTGGATACAATCAAACAAACAACAGACATTCAACTGGACAGACTAACAAACCTACGGACAAACAATATTAGTTACTAAAAGCAGCAGGATATCGGATATGTAAGACTTCGTACAGAGTTACATTTCAGGCATATAGTTATAAATGTTCGAGGATTATCAGGATTATAATTAACTTCTAAAGATTTGTGATAGTATTCCAGTAAGGCTGATCTAAAGGAATTGAAGCATTTCGTGTCATAATTTAGTTCATCTACGAGAGAGTTCCATATTCGACACGCTCTGACAAAAAACGACTGCTGGTAGGTATTGGTTTTACATTTGCGGACGACATATTTAGCGTTATTACTTGCTGATGATCGTGTCGTTCTTTGCATAATATGAATGTCAGGAAGAGCAGACATTTCCACCAAACCGTGTGCGATTTTGAAGAAGAGGATCAGGTCTAGGTATTCATGCCAGTAGGATATGGGAAGAAGATGCAAGGATTGTAATCTTGTTTTATAGTCTACGTCTGTCGAGAATGGCAAGTTCAAAATATATTTTGTTGCCCGCCTCTGAGTTCTTTTTAAATGTCAATAAGTTCAATCGTCTGCGGTGCCCAAATCTGGGAGGCATACCCGAAATGAGATCGAACCAGTGCAAGATACAATGTTCGTCTTGGTGCAGTACTTTTGATGAACATGGTATTTCTTCTTATATAGCCTAACAGTTGGTTTGCTTTTGACGCCTGATGGTGGACTTGCGTTTTCCACGTAAGGTTTGATGCTATACATACACCAAGATCTCTTTCAGTGTCGGTTGTGTTTAATTGGTGATCGTTTATCATATATGATGATGTTACTGGTGTAATCTTTCTCGTTATTCGTTGCTGCTTGCATTTCTTTTCATTGAAACCAGATACAGATGACCAGTGTTCTAAGTTTCTAAGATCACTTTGAAGTAACATAGCATCGTCCTGACATTTGACAGATGAAAATAACTTTGTGTCGTCTGCAAACATGGTTACTTCGCTGGTCTTTACTGAATCACGAAGATCGTTGATATACAGCAAAAATAGCGCTGGTCCAAGAATAGAGCCCTGCGGGACACCTGATGATACAGGAAGTGTGTTTGAGGTACAACCAAGTACCGTTACACGCTGACAACGATCCGATAAGTATGACTGAAACCACTTTAGTAAATTACCACCGAAGCCGTAATTTCTCAGTTTAGTAATTAATTTCGTATGATTAATCCGATCAAAGGCTTTAGACATATCGAGATAGATCGTATCTACCTGTCCCCCATTGTCCAGAATCCTGCCAATATAGTTAATTGCCTCTAAAAGATTTGTTACACTTGATTTACCTCGAAGGAACCCGTGTTGACACTTGCAGATGATCTGGGACAAATGGCACTTGATGTTCATAAGGACACAACGTTCTAGCTGTTTCGAAACAATCGATAAGAGTGAGATCGGTCTGTAGTTTTCGCAGTGATCTTTTTCACCTTTCTTAAATACAGGTACAACATTTGCTAGCTTCCATTCTTCTGGAACCGTGCCAAGACGTAATGATTTATTAAATAATTTACAAAGAGAGGGAGCAATAATGGAGGCAGTCACTTTGAGTAGTCTGGCTGGAATTTCATCTGGACCGGTTGCTTTGTTGCTATCGAGAGTTTTAAGTAAAGTTTCAATTTCCAGTTCGTTTACAATTACTTCAGATATGAATGGGTCAGTACTTAGGCGCTAGGTCTAATGTGAATTTGATCGGAGGAGTTGAGTGCTGCAGGCATTGAAATGAAATCGGGGATGCTGCAAGTTTTTGATTTATGTTTAAGGACAAACCAAAAGCGCTTGGGATTGTTAATAAAGTTGTTGTTAACCGAGGAGAAGAAATTCTCGCGGCTGTCACTAAGAAACCGTTTAACTTTAGAATGCATTCTCTTGTATTTCTCGTGAAGATGTGCAGTAGGAGTGGCTTTCAATCTTCGTCGAATAGAGTTTTTTTCCTAATTTGATAGAGAATATCGGCGTTGATCCATGGTAACGGATTTCTACCTTTCAATTGCTTCTTAGGGATGAATTCTGAAACGATTGAAAGAAAAGTGTCCTTCCAACGCTTCCAATCGGTATTAATGTCATCACACGATTCTAAAATGGTTGTAGATAAGTCTATTTCACGTAAAGCAGCACAAAGACCAACCATGTCACCTTTCGTATAGTCGTATACAGTTCTGACCGACTTCCTTGGTTTTTTGATAAATGCGGAGAAATCGAATGAGATAGTATGATGGTCAGTAAAAATGGATGTTTCTTCCGGAGATAATATCTGTGTCACATTGACATGGTCTGGAGCATTTGTGATAACAAGGTCTAGTATGTTATTTCCGCGTGTAGGAGTGTTGTTGAGTACCCTAGATTCCAGAGCCTTCGACAGTAAATAATAAATTGAAATGTCGCGAAGGCTCTGGTTCAACGGGGCGATTCTTTGATTAAACCGAGCCAATCACAAAACAGAATTAGTGGTTTTAGTACAGATTCTGTACTAAAACCACTAATTGTTGAGTTGAAGTAGATGATGATCATCCAGTAACTCAAGGAAGGAAAGTTCGTTAATACCAGCGGCTTTTTCTATCGATCTCCATGGGATGTTTGGAAGATTGAAGTCTCCCGCAATTACAACGTTTTCGTAGAGGTCACAATATCAGACGTATCAGAAAATTTCTCAGCTTTGATTCTACACAAATTCTTATTAACGCTTTCGTTACGAGTCGACTAGACTATTGTAACAGTCTCTTGTATGGTCTGCCCGCCAATCAGATATACAAACTCCAACAAGTACAGAACTCCGCAGCAAGACTGATTTGTAATATTAATCGATTTGATCACATCACCCCTGCGCTGTATAAACTACATTGGTTACCTGTTAGATACAGAATTAACTTTAAAATATTACTTATCACTTATAAGGCAATTAATGGTCTCGCTCCTGAATATATTTCTGAACTCATCAAATTCAAGGTTGCATCCAGATACAATCTACGATCATCTACTGAACTGTTGCTTGAGAAACCGGGAACAAAAACATTAACCACTTTGGGTGACTGATCGTTCCAAGTGGCTGAACCTACGCTGTGGAACAGCCTCCCAGCAGAAATTCGTAACGTCTGCAATGTTGCATAATTTAAGAAAATGCTTAAAACCCATTTTTTTATGAAGACATTTTCCTACATGCTGTCATAATTAGGACAAGTAATATATAGCAGCCCTGTAGGTTCTTAGATTTATTGTAGGACAGTTTTTAAATTAGTGTAATATTCCAATTTTCTATTTTGATGTAATGCGCGAGTGAGCATCTTCCTATGTAACACGCGCAATATAAATTTTTAAATTAAATTTTTTAAATTAAATTATTCTTTAGGATCTTATCTCCGTCAGTTATCAACTTATCATCATCACTTTTGTCTTTTCTTCATTCAAGGGATTAAGTTGTTGGCCCAATGATGTATTTGCCTAGCTCTGTGTTCAGCTGTGCAATTTCCTTGAAATCAGCTGACGCAGTAATCGTCGTGTCATCAGCGTAAAGATCAGTATCGGAGCGGAAGGTCGTTTATAAACAGTATGAAGAATAATGGTCCAAGGATAGAACCCTGAGGAACGCCGTGATGCATGTAGGCAGTAGATGATTCTTCACCATTCAAACTGACCAGTACTAGTTGGGTTCTACTCGATAAATAAGACTCACACCATCCCAGAGGCGTAGCCAGATCTGGGGCCGGGCGGCCCGCCCCCCCTGGCAAAATTTGGGGGGCCCTAATAAAATGTATTGTATAAAAAAGGGAATCCTTGATTACATAGCTTCATGCTGTCAATAATGCAAACATTCTGTAGAATATATGCTTGCTACGCATCGGTGTATCAGGAGTGAAACTTAAAATCTTGTTCGCTTATTTGCGGCACACAGCTTGAAACACGTACCTTTCCTAACCCTAATTATTTCAATATGTATTAAATGAGGGTTAGATGAAGTTTAAAACAATCTGGTTTTTTTACCAGTGAATTTTTAACGCGGGCTCGACGGGCTCAATGTTGTCGGAAAAGGTGATACGGAAATGGGGAAAAGTGCTACGAAAGTAATTGTAATGTTATTGATATTTTTATTGATATTTATATTTTTTTATTGATATTGATATTTTTTTTATATTTTTATTGTTATTGATATTTTTTTTAAAATTTTTTTTTATTGTTATTGATATTACCCAAAAAAGTTGTCGACAGGGGGGGATTTAATATGTTGTGGTGCGGAAAATTTGTTGGCCCCATCTGGGTTTTTGCTGGCCCCCCCTGACCAAAAATCCTGGTTACGCCTCTGCGCCAAGTTTAAGCCAACTATGCCAGACTGCCTTGGAAAGATCAGGTTGAATTAACTGAGAAAGGCATATAAACTGTCGTAAATGTGTCTTTCAATAATCTTAGATAAAACAGGCAGAATGGATATCGGGCAATAACTTGAGAGATTACTTGTATCGCCACTCTTGAATAATGGCGTGACTTTAGCTGTCTTCCATCATTGAGGGAAAACCCAGTAAAATTTGAATAATTGATTAATCTTGTGATACTTGGCGCGTCAGTGGCCGAAATTCACTTTTTCCGACAAAACGTTCAAATTTCCGACTTATCCCCTCATTTGCACTCGAAAAGACTGTTTTTAGCCCTCTTTTAGGTCAAAATTTCCGAAAATTCGGCAATTTTCCGTGAAGGTGGGGGAGGCGGAACCAGGATTTCCGGCACCAGGGGCGTAACTACAGGGGGGGTTTGGGGGGTGTCTCGTCGGGCAAAAACTAAGAAAAGGTCGGGCAAAACTACTGAAAATCTAGTCGAAAATTTTAAGAAATTAAAAAGAATTGAAAAGACTCGAAGATTTTCATAGTTTCTCAAAAAAAACTCATTCACCGCCTCAATATCCTATAGGGTTTCATGCATGTGTTAACAGGAATTTGTCCGAAAAAAATTTTTTGACCTATAATTGAAGTGGTGTATGTCCGAAAATTTTTTTTTGCTGCAGAGCATCATCGGTTTCGCAGGGCAATTCTAGCAACCCCCCCCCTCCCAATCAAAAGGGGCTAGTTTCGCTCCTGTCCGCCACTGGGCGCGATTACAGGAGCAGCAGTTTTTAACAAACGAGCACTTATATTTTATCAATTCCTGCTGCTTTATGTTGATTGAAATTTTCAGTGCATTAAGCACCTGTGCATCTGTCATCGCAGGGATAGTAACCAGGTGATCTTGATACGCGGAAAAGTACTGGCACTAGTTGTCAAATAGAAATCCATTTTGTGATTAAAACAACTGCATATCTCCTGTAATATACTTTATTTCGATTCCATATTTTTGTCAGAGCTATAGTTCTCATAACCAAACATAATTACAAAATTTCAACTAGTTTCCTAAAGAATAACGAAAGATATAATTGACTGAATACATCAAAATGGATTTCTATTCGGACAACCCTTTCTGAGCGCTGATTGGCTAAAATACGAACACGAGATCACCTGGAAATAAAACATCGGGACTTTTTTTGGAATTGACAAAGTTCCGCAACTTGGAAAGATCAGGGACGACATTGGGTAACCGACACTTCTCAATTTGTCCGCAATGGTGGAGAAATGCAAGTTAAATTTGTTCGCCATCTCAATGGAATCATTTATCACAATACCATCATCAACTTTTAAATTTCTCACTTCACTTTAAACTTTCTTGTTTGTCCCAGTTAACGACTTGATTGTATTCCAAATTGTTTTGGGATTATTCTTATTCTCTTCAAAAGCCGAGTAATAATAATCCCGCTTGGCTGTCCGTATGACACTAGAAGCTTGAATTAGTGCGTTTCGCAATTAGTTTAACAATTTGTCTCTCATTCGTAACTGATAAATTACAGGCTTTGTAATCCACGGCGCTTGCAGAGATTTCTTAATGCGCTTCTCACGCCACGGACAATAAGAATCAAGCACGCCATTGAAAATTTGTTCCCAACCATTCAAGACATCATCTACTTCCTCGAATACAAAAGCGGTATCCCAAGGGGCCTGCCTAAAGCCTGCCGCACACGAGAGCTATCTGCTGAGCAAAAAGTTACTCGTGCCTGTTAGCTCAGCTGATAGCTCACTGATCAAACATGTTTGATACGTGAGAAAAGGTTGCATGAGGCAAAAAACTCAGTAAAATGTACCCGCACACGGTGAGCTATCGGCTGAGCTAACAGGCACGAGTAACTTTTTGCTCAGCAGATAGCTCTCGTGTGCGGCAGGCTTAAGGACTTCGCAAATTGTTCCTGATTGAATCGTTTCATATCGGCCTATCTCGGTATTTGATGCTTGCTTGTTTCCCACCGAGATGACAATTAAAATTTTCATGTGCATATTTTC